AAAAGGGCACAAATATGGGAATACAAAGTTACAAAGTACCGAGGTAGTATATGTTTTGGTATAATGAATATACATGTACACGTATATCTCGTTGATAAACACAGAAATTTATTTGACTTAAAAACAGATTAGCTTGCACAGGAAACTTGTGTCTTGCCTTTGTATCAAATTTAAAAAAAAAATCAGAGAATGTTTTTAAGAAATGAGTAGGACACATGCAAAAAGCAAAATGATCGTTTCGAAACAAAATAACATGCATAATGAGTGACGTCAAGTTTTAATGAAAAAAATCCAGGTATGTTGGTGAAATGGTTAAAGATATGTTGAATTGTTTTCTTTGTGTTGTTTTTCACCCGTTTATATCCTTCCATGTACGTGTTGTCTTAATACAAACTTTGAACACAATCTCTTGCAGAATTGATTGCCAGTACCAACTGACCTTCCATTTTGACTCAAAAGCATCTAACTGTTTCTGTTTTCGCTCTTGTTGCATCTTCTTTTCTTTCTCTTCATTGTACTCAGTTTGTTTTGTAGGACCAGCAACGAGATAGAGTTTATCAATAGATATTACCCAGGGTTCACTTCTCATCCTTCGCATAGGAATTTGCAAAGTAATCTTACCAACAAAACCTGAATACAAACAATAAGAATACCGGTAATCAAGCACTGTAAAATATTACATTATTAAAAAATGTCATGATCTTAAATACATGTACATATATGTTCAACACAAGGCTTACTACTACACAGTACTACATTTTTCACTGGGTTTTAATTTTGCTATTTTCTCCGATAGGTGAAATATACCTAAGATGAAATTCATGCAAAAATGTAAATATACAATAAAACAGTAAATTTAAAACCAAGTGAAATATCAAAACAGTGAAATTAAATACTAAATGTATTTACAGTAACTGACACATACAATGTAACAATACTATTATGTCACCTCTGCACATGTACATTGGACATTACAGAACACAGTTCAAGTTCATGGACCTCAGTGTGTGTTAGTCTTTGACCTCAGAAGCACATCACTGTCACTCCTGGGTATAATACTGTAAAATGACTAATTTTCACTGGGTTTAAATTTCGCTGATTTACCATTTCAGGCATATTCAGTGGGTTTTAAATTCACAGTTTTATCATTCAGATAATGTGTTCTATGCTCAATTTGACATATTCACTGGGTTTTAATTTAGCGCATTTTCCAGTCAGCGAAATAAGCAAAATTAAAACCCAGTGAATAATTAACCCCTTTACAATATACGGTACTGACCTGCAATGACCTCAACTGGTAGATCCAACCCTTTCAATGCATCTTTCTTCAACGGTAAATTCTCAAGTTCAACAGCACCTACAAAAATATAGTATAAAAAAAAAAAGTCATGTGACTGACAATGAGCAAATACAATTTATATCATTAATTTCTAAAAGTACATGTGCATATGACAGGCTTGCATTGTACATTTCATATAGCAATTTTCATTGAAATAGTTATCAAATGAAGATAGAATGATTATCATAATTGACTGCTGTACAGAGGTTGGTGGTAAGGTTATAGACAAGGTTCAGGTAGAACAATTCTTTTCAGGCCATTCTGCATAGGATTTATACTAAATGAGAGTATATACCACTGTAACACATTGCCTGATGAAAAACTCCACGGACAGCAAAACTGAATGAAAGAAAACAGCGTCAGCAGTCGCTGTATAATTTCACAAGATACAAATTTTTGAGAATTTTGTGAGTAAGCAAAAATACAAAACTTAGAAGAACTGGCAATTTTTCGGGTACCACACTATGACATGGAGTGTCATTGACTTTTCAATATTTGTATAGGGATTTATTTTTTAATGATGTCGCATTCATACCTGAATACCCAGTCGACACATGCTGAAATCACGTTTTCAACAACAATAGTCAAAAGGAAGTAGAAGAGATATCTTCATGAACATGACATCGTTAACACTAAATGTGTACTGACATTTGCCTCCAGCCATTTCCACACAAGATTCATTGCTGATATTTAAATCAATCTTGATTATACATGGAATATACAATTCATATACATTTGTAAATACACAGCTGGAGTTAAAATCATAAAACAGTCTGCTGGCCAATACAACGAGTTTTCAGTTTAGTTACACTTTTGAACAGTCTGGTTTGTATTCTTTTATTTATTTTATATTTGGAGCTACAGATCCCATTTACAAGTTGAGAAGATCCAAGATATAAATGTATCACCAAAAATGCACAACTCATAAACCAGCAAAACAAAATAAAATAATGATGATAGACAGCTGAGCAACTTCTGACCTTCTAGCATCTGTGACATTTTTATTAAAATTATGTGACATATTATTACAATTGTCTGACATATTATTGGAATTTAGTGACATTATTATTACAATT